GGAAGGAAGGAAGGAAGGAAGGAAGAAAAAACCATATGATTCCTTACTAAATACTAAAGGTAGACCGCTCTTATGAAAAGTAAGAAAAGTTTTATGTTTAACAAGAATTGGGCTGCCTGTGGTAAGACCGAGTGGTAAGCTGGCGCCAGAGAATCGATGTATTGACGAGTCATTACGATTGGTTAACGAAGCGTTGGCTGGAAAAACCGAGGACAAACCGAGAGGCTTCCATTAGCCAATGAGTAGGGCCTGGGTACCAGAAGGCAGACGAGGGAAAAGTTGGGAAAAGAAGAAGAAGATCTAGACGCCGCGCCCGAGAAACTCAAAAGGTATTCAAGAAAGAAAAGGTGAAAAAGCTGTTTTAATGCATGGTAAGCCCTTTGAATCTTCACTTTTTATTACAATAATGCCAGTTTAAGTTAATTTTGAGGTTTTTTTGTCTATCAAATACTAGAATTAATATAAGACACGAATAACGTTTCGATGCGGCTTGCAATTGCATCATCCTCATGTTCTGAATACTAGAATGTGTGAACATATTGGAGCTTAAAGGATTCCTGGAAAAAGCGAGTCGATCGAGCGAAGAATGAAGACAAGCGAGAAGCTGGAACAACGACGAAGACTCAAACAAACTTAGGCTTTAAATAAGGCCTAGGGCAAACGTCGAACTTTCCATGCACCGAACTTAATTACATCAGAGAATGACGCCTCATTATCACCTGATATCCATTGTTTTTAATGAGTTCGGTGCATGGAAAGTTCGATGTTTGCCCTAGGCCTAAGGCGATTGCAGTTCAATTGCTTTGGTTGTGTTTATACACGGTGATCGCTAAGCCACCGAATAAAATATTGTTATTGACTTTTCACACGTTATGTGTTGCCAAATAAAATTAGTAAAAGTTATAAATTGCTTTTCATTCAAGTTTACAACTTACTATCTCAGGCCTTTTGAAGCTGTTTCGTAAAGCTAGATTTTAAATAATGTATCAAAAATGTTGGAATAATGTCGAAAAAATGTCAGAATAACTCATGACTATTTGTGCAAAACTTGCTTCTAATTGGTTACTTCCAAAAGAATGTCGTAAAAACATCTAAAAAAGTCTGACTGTTCATGGTTCGAGTATCTGCACTGTGTAAAAAAAACAACAACAAAAAAAAAAAAAAAAAAAAAAAAAAAAAAAAAAAAAAAAAAAAAAAAAAAGAATAAAATATAAATAACAGAGATCTAGGAAGGATTGCGCTAAAAGAAAATTGGTAAGCAACAACTTTGTCTCTATCTCTTTTTATTCCATCTGGTGGACTAATATCAGGAAGTCTAACTTGAAGAACTTGAGTGATCATGCTGGGAAATAATTCCTCAAAAAGGCAAGTTTATAAATGTTAAATCTATAGTTTATAATACAATGGAAATCACTAGAGTGAGCTAACATGTAAATTTTTTGAGATTTTTGTGTACCATGCAAGGATGAGACTGATACGACTGACATGCTGTTGATTAAGTGACCATAATGCTTGTTGCAGCCTTCATGAAAAACTTGAGTTTGAAAAAATAATTATAACGTTCAAGATAATATTCCAAGTTTGCAGTAGTAAACTTATATTTATATTATATATAACTTAGATGCTTCAAAATCCATTTTCCCTATCAATTGCTACTAAAATTGCGTACTTCTCAAACGTTATCGTGTGGTACGCAAAAATCTGGTACACACAAACCTGCTAATCTACATCTACTGCATGTCAATTCTCGACTTTCACATCCCCATAATGCCTTGCGTTTTTGGGGGGGTAACCAATCAAAAAAACTGTCAAACTGTCCCAAATTGAAAGATTTCTTAATTGAATTTATACATTACTTGCTTTTATCTGTACAATACTGATTATTAGTTTATTCCAAGTTATTTTTGAGTGTACAGATCATCAAGAGTTTTGGTCTTACAAAAAATGTATTAACTTACGAAAAAATGTTTAAAATTTACCTTAAACGTCTTCAAGCTTCTATCTTTTTCTGTTTTTTACTTCTTCATTTTATCTTTGGATACCAAACAAGGTATTTTCAACATTGTCTGATCAGCCTTCAGCAAAATAAGTGGGTTTTTACCCTCTGGTTACCCCCCAAAGACGCAAACTGGATTATGGGGATGTGAAAGTCGAGAATGGTATTTTGCCACTCTCTCTTTTCCTGAAAAGCCCTGGCCAAATTACTAAGGGGTTCATGTTGTTATTATTAATTATTGAGTGAGTTTTTGTTTTAGATTAACAGCTAAAAAACAGAATTTAATTGAAACGGCTGGTCACGATGCCACGATTTTCGCTGTAATAGCGTATTTTTGATTTCTGCTTAATATGAATAAATTTCATCATTATCATTTCAGAGCAATCATGTAGGCCAAGGAAACAAGGACAGAGAGATGGACAGAATTAGTATGTACAGAGGATGTCCCCACCTCGGAGAATAAGGAGACATCAGTTTATTCAGGGGATTTACCTTCTCAAATTGCCTCAGATCATCAAGAGAGCATGGACATATCACACAGTGATGCCGCTTCTACTTCCAGAGAAGAACACATACAGCAATTATCTAAAGTGGCTGAAAATATCATTGAAGTTGAAGTGGATTTCAATGAGGAAGTAGGAAAAAATGGTGTTAATCTTGATAAAACTGGAATTCCTGAAGTTTTGAATGCTGAATTTGCCTTACGCAACACTAATGGTGGAATCATCAAACTTAAAATGAAAACCAAATTGTCACCAGAAAATAAGAAAATTGATCAGTGGCTATCAAACTTAAATTACAAGAGACATGAAAAGTTAAAAACACTGGGACAAAAGGAAATCCTCCCGGAAATCATTGATTTCAAACCTGAAGAAATGTTATTATTTGTGAAAAAATCATCAATTGTCCTAACAGAGAAATCCAACCTTCTTACACGAAGATTGAACCAGAAATATGAGCTTCAAGGTTATCTTGAAATTCAAAATTTGTTAGTAAAGAGTGATGAGCCAAGATGTTGCTGTAGTAATGGACCAACAGTAGACTCATTTATTCAAGGACAAAAAATGCATTCTGGAGAATCTACAACAGTAGAATATAAAGACCTCACCAGTGAGAAGCTTCCAAATAAGTTGCGAAAGGAATTGAAAGATTACATTGGGCAATTTGCCAACACTAATGGTGGTTATGTGTACTTTGGAATATCAAATGATGCCATCATCAAAGGACAACATATAAATGGCGAAGAGATGCAGCGTGCTATTGAACAGAAGGTTGAGTGCTGCATGAAATCAAAGATCTGGATCAATAAATTTGGCAAGAAGGAAACACCTGAGCATGGTAATCATTATGAGGTCACCTTCTTCCCAGTCAACAGAGCAGATGAGCATACCTATGTGATACGAGTTCATATCTGCCGGTATGCTGGTACAGTGTTTCTTAAGGAACCTGAGTGTAAAGTAGTTGATGACAACAACCAGATTGTCAATATGAGTTTTGAGAGGTGGTTGGCATCATTTCTCATAACTATAAAAGGTAAGTCTTAATTTGAATATATACCTTTAGACAGGGCTTCTGACAGGATGCGCGGGTGCGGATCCGCATAATTTGCCTTTTTCCGCACAATCGAACGATTTCCGCATAATCCGGCAAAATCCCGCATAATTCGTCAAAAATCTAAAGAAAACTTAATAATCAAGAAGAAATGTATTATAATGTTTTCTTATTTTGATGAAATTACGAATTTTTTATTGTTTACTTACCAAATTTCAAGCAATAAACAGCGTTTAAAACTGTATATTGAATCATACGCCATCGTGTAATGAAAAGAAACAAGGCGTTCTTAGTTTAAAAACGTGAAAGAGCCTGGTAACTAGCCTTGAATAAAACGTACTCTCTGATTGGCTAGAAGTCAAACAATAGCAGACATAGATAGCAAATGAGAGTTCTGGTTAAATACATGTATTCGCAGACAAGATTTTCGCGCGTAAAATAGCACCCCGAGACAATTACATGTAGGCAAATGCGGAGTCTTTTGATGTCTAGAAACTGATTACGATCGTTAATCGTTACCATCGTAAACAAGTATATTTTAGCCTAGGGTTAGCTTAACTGGCACTGTGATGTTCAGTCTCAAAAATATAATATTTCAAAAGCAAATACATCATAGATAAAATTGAAGAAATTAACACGACTTAAATTATGCTATTTAAGGATTTTTGATTTTGTGGAGCGAGTTAATTTCCTATAATAAGGCGTACGTAATAGATAATCTATTAACTACGAATATGCAAATGATTCTTGTGCAAGGTGAGGTGAGGTGGTAAATAACGTTGAGATTTTTTGTTGAGCTTCAAAAACTGATCATAAATTTAAGGTTTCGAAAAAAAACATTCAAAGCAATGTTTTGGAGAGAGGCACTCGAGAAGAATTGCATGTAGTGCGAAGAACACGACGATTACACGTGCGGATTAAAAACCTGAGATAAACAAGACCAGTGTCAAATAAAGAAGCAAAATCAAGGTAAAACTGTAAATAATTGCGTAAAACTTTAGTTAAACAAAGTTTGGAGTTAAATAAAGAAGCAAAATTTTTAAAAAACGTGTATAATCCTGTAAAAAAAATTCAGAAATTTTTTCGATTGTGACGTCATCCCGCATCCTATTCCACATAATTTGCCATTTTCTCCGCATAAGCCGGAAAAAAATCCCGCATAATTTCGATTTTTTTCCCGCATCCTGTCAGAAGCCCCGTTTAGAGTGGGTGCCAATCAGATGTTTCCTGTGCCTTTATCATGGAATTATTTTTACTTCATTTTTTTTAAACTCTGCTTACGCAGCTAAGTTCTGACCTGACTTTTGGTTTTTAGTGATTTGTTTGCCATCAATTCTTTGTACGAGGCAAGCAATGAGCATTTTTTGTTGCTACGCAATTCTTCACTTGTCTACATTGCAATGCATCATGGGAAATCCTTTGAAATTTTTGCATGGACTCCTGCCTTTCTGATCTTTTTTTTTTCATTTTTATGAGTGTCAAGCCACTTGGTCCTACCAAAGAAATATCAGCCTCACAGCATTCTCTATGAATTATATTTGAGAAAAGACCAAGTAGGTCCTGGTCATCCATCTATTTAAGAGCTTACAGGATAATTCCTCAAAATTTCAAAAGTACATGAATGTATGAACTATTGACGCTAACATTCCTTGCATAATCTCAGTTCTTAGAGATAATGCTGATTTAAGCTGTCCTAGGGCTTCATGATACAATCCATTCACTGGAATATCATGCCAACTGGTGAACTTTGTACCTCATTTGCAAAAAATGCAATGTCAATCCAGAAAAACAATAGATCCAGAAAACACTAAGAAACCTCAAAAATGCCCAGGAGTCAAAGGTTTAATTTATTCATTATTGTGTGAATGTTTTATTCAGGAAATGAAAATGACCAAAAGAAGTTAAAGCGCCAAACACGTGGGAGAACAGTCTATTACACTGTAGAAGACACCATCGAAGATATTTACAGTGATTTGATAAAAGGTATTTATCAAATCATATCATCCTTAGTATCGTCATAAAATAACCCATGAAGCACTTGTATTTTTTCAGTATACAAAAGAGCCTACAAGTGCATGGGTGGTGTAGTAGTTTGCTACTTGCCTTCCCACTGTGGTCCGGGTTCAAGCCTAAGCTCAGCCTGTTTTTAAATTGAGTTTCGTTTTTTTGGTGTGTTGTTCTCTCCCGGGAAAGGGGGGAGGGTACTCCGCCAGAATTTGGGTAGGGGTGTTCCACTGGGATTCTGAAAGGGGTACCCTGTTTATGACAAAAAAAACTCAAATTTGTAGACGCTGTTTATGACAAAAGATATAATTTATTGCACTGAGTTCCTGTTTCAATTATCATGTCATCTCATGTATCGTTTTTTTACGACCATAATAACCAGTTCCAGTCAATACAAAAGTAGGATCCCTGAATACGACAGGAAAATCAGGAAGAACTTGGAACTTGAGTTAAATTGCATACCCTGTTTATGACAAGAAACTCGAAAAACCATACCCTGTTCAGCGGACCATCCCTGTATTTTCCATATATGGGAGTACCCCCCCCTTGCCTGGAGGGTTTTCTCCAGGTTCTCTGGTTTCCTCCCTCTATAAAAATCAACATGTGAGTTGAGTGTTGTGTGTTGTAAATTTATAGAATGTAGTGGTAGTGCGTGTGGAGGGAACCTCTCAGCAGAGCCCCGTATGGGTAGTGGTGGTTGGAAAAATATTATTTTTCATAAGTTTTTTTTGTTATTTATTTTATTGCAGGTTCACCAGGGAAACTAAAGATCCGGCCAAAACAAGCAAAGCATTCAAGAAACAGAAGCTTATTGCAAACATTTATTAGCTGTTTGAAAAAGATGTTCAAACAAAATAAATGGGAAGGCATTACATTCATTGAAAGATGTTGGGGAGTTAATATAGGGCTTCCAAACACTAAGCCAGCAGAGGTGATTTGGGACATTTTGGTTTGTTCTCCAAGCATTCCTCTTTTATTGGTTAGTCTATGTGAGGGAGAAGCTACCAGTGAAAGCCTCAAGTACAACATAAAGCTAGCAACTAAGTTGAAGGGGATACTTGCCCAAGAAGGAGGGTGCATGGAGAAATTCTATGTTAAGCCTATCACACTTGCATGCCCTAAAGAAGATGACGTACTAGATGAGATGATATCTCATGCATCTGTCTATCCCGAAGMMTACCRGATGTCTAATGAGAAATATCAGGCCATCATTAAAGCCCTAGTCCCTGTACTTGCCAGAGTGAATTCCTCATTTAAAGGTTTTGTTGGCAATCATCTTTTTCATTTGCTCACCAAGGAGCAATATGAGATTCTCTTTGAGAATTTTGAATCGCCAAAATTGATGATAACAGGCCCTCCTGGCAGTGGGAAAACTGTTTTGGCGATTGAACGTATTCATCGTCTAAGAAGACAGGGCTTTTCTGCTAAAGAAGTTTTGTTTGTGTGCTCAAATAAGGTGCTGGAGGCTGAAGTCAGGTATGATGTCCTTGTATACATTCATTCAGTTGCAATTGTTGTTCTTTTTTTCGTTTTCATTAATGTCTGTGGATTCTAGCTTAATTTCACTTTAACCTTTAGATTTACAACACTATTCCCCTCATTTAGAGMCAGGGAAGAGTTACATTGAGCTCTCTTAAGATGAGAGCACCCTTTGTTGAAAATACAATACAATACAATATACAATACAATATATTTTATTTACGTTCTTTTTTAAATTTTTAAAATACTAAGATTCTAATTACAAATTAATCGGTTAATTACATTTTTCTTTTCTCATATTTTTGTTATTAGTTAATTTTTTGGAATGTCAGTGTCTAATTTAACACTTAGTTTTCGAGTTAGACACTGTCATTTGTAATTGTTTTTTATCAAGAGCAAAAACAAAATATGTTAATTACGATACTAAATAAAATGAAACAAATAAATAAATAAATAATCTAGCCGTATAGAAGAGGTTATGTAAAGCAACTAATCTGGAATATTTATAATTGTACTTACAATATTTATATCATATATAACTGTTTTGGTAGTTAATTCGAAGATGAGGGGCATTGGCTTTGCAGCAAATGCTCCTTAACCTTTTTTTTTAAAATGAAGGTTTTTGTAACTAATTTGGTTTCAGTTGGAATTTCTTTCCATAGATCTGGTGCTAGAGCACTAATTGTTTGTTTGCKAATATTTGTTTTAACTTTTTTTTAACTTTTTGAAAAACAATAGACCTATCTAAAAAGATATTTTTTATACTTCCGGGCCCTGAGCCCTCTATTGAGTTGAAAGCAAAGATTCACTTGAGATTAATAAAGTGCTAGTCTTACGAAAATATTAATGATGCAAAAAAACTCCCCAATTTTGAATATGCTCAAATAGGTTATGATGTTCACCAATAAACAATAATTGGTTCGAAAAAGAAACTTTTCCCGTCTGAATTCTCGTCCGCCATTTCTATGAGCAGCGATTTTGTGGTTGCATTTTAATTTATGTGTGACGTCATATGCGCAACTGACATCCTTTTTATCCACACTGACTCTACAGCATTCTCTGTAAGAATGCATGACTTGGTTTAAGGCTTGTTTTTAAATCAAAACATTTGGTTGCAATTACACATTGTGAAAAGCCGGGAATTTTGAAGGGTGGCGCGTATGACGTCACTTCCTTCAAATCACTAAAAGTTGCCAGGAACGCAATCGCTTAATGGCAGCCTCAAACGGCCAAACTTTACCAGCTAAATGCAACATCTTCCCAGTCTCGTATTGAAAAAGAATTTGGACAGTAAGCTATATTACATATCTAGTTTTATATGGTACAATTCCCAGGGATGGTGTCATTTTCGTAAGACTAGCACTTTAACGATTTTTTGCGGAGTAGAAAAAGAGAGAGAGAGAGAAACCCTAAAATCAAGGGAGAGAGATAATGAAAACTTGACCAACACAAGATGATGATCCAAAAATTGAAGTAGATTTTGTCGGGTCTCTCCCTTGAGTCAAGGTTTTTCTGGTTAACTGAGAAGCTAGAGTGTAGCGACAACCGGAATGTCCAAATCTTAAGAGACCGAAATGTGTTGCCAATTCATTAATTCATGTAGAGTGTGGTTTTGTTACCATTTTCCATTTTATGTTTTATGAATATAACATATGAATTTAATATTTTGGCCTTTCTTTTTAGGCACATTAAAGTAACCAATTTGGATGGTAAACCAGAGCCATTATGTTTAACATACAACTATTTTGGAATCATTTCTTGTCTCAGAAAGGAACATGATAGTGCACTTGCTGGTGTGAAGCATATTGTGATTGACGAATGCCAACATTTCAAGTGGAACCCCCCAACATTTCATTCGACTGGTGGGAGTTGGTGGGAGACATTCATGAATTCGTACGATAACGGGAATCCTCCAAGTCTTTGGATATTTAGTGACTCCTCCCAGCAGATATTCAAAGGACCCTGTGTACTTGATAGGCTACCAGATGGTTTCTCCCACAGGCAGCTGAGTACCGTCATCAGGACCACTGGCAAAATACACAAATTCATTTGTGAAAGATTCATGAAGAATGACCAACAGATTCAACTTGGACATGATCTTGAAGGAGAGGACGTTGAAGTTCTGGTGCCAAAGCAACCATCAGGAGTTAGTAGAGAAGTGCACTTGGTAAATATGTTGATTAACCTCCTTAAAGACATGGTTAATAAGGGAGTTGATCCAGACACCATTGGCGTCCTTTTTACTGATGAAAAGGAAAAGAATTTGTATCGAAAATTATTTGATGAACGCACAAGGCATTTTCAAGTCAAGGATGGAAAGGCTGTCTCTGAACATGGTATCGTGTTTAACACTATCCGCATCTTCTCTGGGGCAGATAAAGACATCATCATTGGGTTCTGCCCCCACTTTTATTCTGTGACAAATGAATTCCAGCACAATGGTGCTTTGATGATCTCGTTATGTAGTCGGGCAAAGCTCAAGCTGATTTTAATCCTTGAGGACGAAAAGGTAGCACATTCTTTTGGATTGGCTGACTGCATGGAAAAGACAGATATCCCATAATTGTAAATGATGAAGTTATAAATTTCAGGGTGTGAAACACTATGCAAAAAAAGAAAAATGCTAGACGTGTAACAGGAACGCAGGTTGAGTAGGAAGGAGAGAGATCCTACGATCATTGCCAAAATACTTGGCACGATGGCACATTTTGGCTAACACAGAAAATGGCTTTCCTCTGTCGCGCTCTCCCCCTGTCCCCAGTACAATGTTTCCGTTCCCCAAAAGAAAGTTGGTACCCCTGATCAGACTCACCAACCCTCTGCCAACTTGCAGGAATCCCAACATTGTACGGGGGAGGGGGGTTTAGTCCTAGGTAATGTTTTGCAAAGTATCCTCTAAAATACTGAAATCTGTAAAGCGTGCCAACTAATTATGGTAATGATTGTTGATTTACCCGGAGCGAGAGAAATTAAAGTAAATTAAGACTGCCAGTGTGCTACTTTAGGTACAAGTAACACTGCATAAAGTATTATGAACAAAAAATTATAATTGTATTGATTCAGAAGTTATAACACAGCAGCATGCAAAAAGGTCACAACTTAGATGTTAAAGTATAATTATTATGATATGAATATAAAAGGAATCAGAAATGTAAAAAATCCAGGCAGGAGATATTATACATAGTAATGTTACAGGTATTTCAAAAAAAAAGGTTGGTAAATGTGGGTGTTGCATGTCGTATACCAAGCCCAAAATACACTATGGGCGATGTTTATCCAATCAGTGAAAGGTCACATTGATATGGAATTTTCTCAAACATTGTCTGCACATCTTATGCAATTGTCTTTTGTGACATATTCAAATAATGATAATGGGATTAAAAAATACCTTTCAAGGTTAAACAATATATGTCCAACATGCAACAAAACCGTTATGTACCTTTTTTAGAAACCAATGATTGTATACAGCTATTGTGGTAGAATTTTTGCCCCAAATTTTTGGTTAGTTCCATCCCCATTTTTATCTTATAAATGTGGATAATATGTATACTCTAGGTACCTATTATAATAGAAATCCATTATTTACTCTAGGTTTTTTAAAAAGTCTTTGTAAAATTGTTGAGGAACAATAACTCAGTAACTAAATTATAAAAAGTGCATGCCAAGAAAAATTGTTGAAAATTGTAGTTCTATGTTGAATGAGAATAGATAAAATATAAAACATGTGCGTGATTTTTATTTTCAATTTATAATTTATAATTATTTATTTGTTTGTTTATTTATTTATGTTCTAATTTGTTTACATATTATTTAAATCTATTTATGTATCAAGTCTTTTTCTTATCTGTTCATACATCAATCCTATTCCCAGCACACCAAATCCTATTCCCAGTACACCAAATTGCATTCCCAGTACACCAAATTCCAATCCCAGTATACCAAATCCCATTTCTAGCACACCATATCCTATTCCCAGTACATCAAATTGCATTCCCCGTACACCAAATCCCATTCCCAGTACACCAAATCCCATTTCTAGCACACCATATCCTATTCCCAGTACACCAAATTGCATTCCCAGCACACCAAATCCCATTCCCAGTATACCAAATCCCA